CAATTTTCACAATATTTTTTTTGCACCACTGCAGATCTTTTGTAGAATAGTGAGAAACAGCAAGATCCGGGCCAAAAGAGACATTAGTATTTGTGTTTTTTTATAAATGGAAAAAGTCTTTTTTAGAGACATTCTATGATGTAAAGATCATCAGTCAAGGCCTTCTTAGTAACAAAACAAGAGGACTGCATACTAGGGGTATGACAATTTTGCAACCTGGTATCACCATACTTAATTTAGTGAAGTTTTAATGCAAAAATTAAGAAAATATCAAACATTTATACTATATCTTAAAAAAGTTCACCCCAATTTGAATTAGATTGGGGGTGAACTTTTATTATACTAGAACTTATATTAGAAGTTGCATTAGTTCACACCTGGTATTAGAATATAAGCAAGTATAACAAAAATTGCTTTCAAAAAGATCATTTATGACATGTTTTAAAAGAGTCTAAATTATGGTGTTGGCATCCTATAAAAGTAGGCTTTTCTAGTCCAATGGTTTTGAAATGTTATTGTAACAGTGTTACTACACCGATTCTTATTCCTGAACTTGTTTTCAACTTTTCTCCTTCTTTTAAGACATCTTTATAGACACCACTTTGACATCACTTTGAGTTGGAGTAGGAACAGAAGTTCCAACTTTTGATAGAGTTTTACAAACTTTGTGTGCTTTTTCGGTACTAATCTTTGGAGAAATCACTTAATATACAGCCAAATTTGTTTTATCTTTTAGATGATGATGACAAGCTTTTAATATCTTCAGCAAAGCTGAAGATGTTGAAAGTATTGCTGCTGAACACTGCTCTTCAGTTTCTGAATGACCTTCGTCACTAGTTGTCTTCTCCTTCACTAGCTAGTCTTGGCTGATGGACGTTTGTTTCTTTATCAGCACTAGCTTTCTTGAATGAATACCTTCAGTATCTTTAATTGTGGTACAATATTCAACTCTTCCATTTCTTGACATTTACAGACCTTGAAACTCTTTATCTTCCTGACACAACCATTCATCTTTCTCATTAGTTATGTAAAACAATTGGGTAAAGATTTAAGATATCAAATCTTTACCCAATTGGGTAAAGATTTCGACTACCTTCGTCAAGTTCTTCCAATACATTTTCTTTTTTTCTTTCTGATGCTGATTTCCCTTGTATTCAGCTTTCTTTATTGTAGTTAGCCGCAATTACAACTCTCTCCTTTCTTCTTTTCACATATGATTACAAGCTTTTAAATCAATCAATGATATGCGGTTCTGTTGGCATTTTATTCATTTTATCAATACTTTTATCAACAGTAGTACATTTTCTTGAAGTATTTTTTTGAAAAGGTTTTTCATACCTCACTAAATTTGATTCAAAACTTTCTTATTCTTGTCTGAAGCAAGAACATTTATGGCTATTTTTGTATGTTTACTACGTTATTTATAACTCATAAAGATAAAACTAAAAAGATAGGAAAAATTCTTTTCAGCTTAGGGGTGATCTTTTTCAAAAGCTAACATCAAAAACTTATATTTTTTGTTTGTAAATATAATTTTTCCACTCATGGTGACATAGGGTTTTGTTTGTAAATATAATTTTTCCACTCATGGTGACATAGTGACATATATATTAAAAATTCTTTAAAAACTTTTTTAGTCATACCACTAATAGATAACACAACTACAAATTGCTTGCCACACTAAGAACTTGGATGCAAATTTTTCTCGTCAAATATATTTAAATTGATTATCGGCAGGTTTATCATTGTTTTCATAGTAAAATTGTTGACCAGGAAGTTGTGAAAAATTCGCCTTGTAATATGTTTCGTCATCTTCAATTATGCATATACTTTTATCCGCCATTATTTTAACTTCTTTGTGCGTCAAGATCTTTTGATATCTCAATTTAAGCTTCTCATAAGTGTATTTTTCTTATGAAATACTTTAATTCAAGCATTTTTAAGTACTTTTTTGATATAAGAACGCGAAGTCTTGAATTTTCTTGCTAGATTTTCCTGTGACTGATTCGGATTTATTGCTATTGAAATGAGAATTGACCTTTTTGGATTTCTGAAAAGTTTTTTCCACTTCCAGCTTCTTTTCCAAAGCTTTGAGAAGTCTTAAACTTATTTATAATATCTATAACTGTAGGATTTGGAACATTTGTACGTTTAGCAATCAAGCAATATGTAGTCGATGGATTTTCTTAATTTGTTTCCGAAACATTTTGCACCTCAATTTGTTTCCGAAATATTTTGCAAATTATTGATTTGCAAACAAAAGTTAATCAACATTATTAAAGATAAGGAAGAAACGTTTAATTAAAAAAGTAAAACAAATGAAAAGCATTTGTGGTTTTAGAGATATCTCAATTTAAAAATATATATACATAAACACTAAAATATCAAAGAACATAGGTTTACTTTACAAGGCAAGACCATTTCTGTCACAAAAAAGTCTAAAACTCGTCTACTTTTCCTTAATACAGAGCTATCTCATGTATGCCAATATAGCATGAGGCAGTACCCATAAATCTAAACTAGAACCACTTTACTTACGTCAAAAACACGCTTTAAGACTTGTATACTAGTCTTGAAGCGTGTTTTTGACGTAAGTAAAGTGGTTCTAGTCTAGATTTATGGGTAAATAAATCTAAACTAGAACCAAAAACAAGTTTACTCACGCCCAAATCTTGCTAAAACAAATGAACGCACTAAATATATTTCAAATAAATATTTTTCAAAATATACTTTTCATGTTTAAATATAAACTAAGTCTGGTTCCAGAACATTTTACACCACACATTTTTAAAAGCAATATAAATACTTTAAGATACCATTTGAAACAACAAGACTCTCAAAATTCTCAATTACATATTGTGGTCCTTATTCATTTACCAAATTAGTTTCCAGAAACGAATCGCTGTTAAACTTAAACAACGAACACTCTCTGAAAATAAAGCTAAAATCTACAATAATCAAATTAAACAACTATAACGATTTTTTTTTAATTAAATAAAAAAATAAAATAAATGTAACTTAACTTTTAATACAAATCGATAAAAAAAAAAAATAATAATATTAATAACAAGGTATATACGTGACACATATATACCACGTGTGCAACTGATTTGTTATGAGTATTACATGCCTAGAAAAAGGTACTCGATGACAAGACTGACTCAAGTCTTCTGCAAGCTTCCTATAACTACTAACAAGTAACTCTTCTAATCAATCTTACACAAATTTCTTTTTTATCATATTTATACTCAAACATTATTTTGAAATGCGGTAAACAAACTTTATTTCTGTATTTGCAGCAACATAATTTTGATTGCAGCAACATTATTTTGCATTGTATTGCAACATTTTTTGCATTGTATTGCAGTAACATTTTTTTGAAATGTGGTAAACAAACTTATAGTGTAATATCTAAACGCTCCTCCAAAAAATCAGCAGTTTTATTTTTATTTATTGTATTTTTTACTTTAATTGGATGAATATAGAGATATATTTCTCGGATTATTTTTACGTTAACGTTATTATATTGTTGTAATTGGTATTTATTTCAATCATGTCTCGGAGTTGTTTGCGACAATATTTTATTTGCTTCGTATATTACGAACTTTATGTTTAAGATATTTATAATTGTATATCTTTACCGCTAATCTGTGACTGGTTACTTGTAAATACTTTGTACTTGTAAAATATACATGTACAAAAAAAAAAAAGGTGATTGGATTATTCCGTGTATGACCGGATATAATCTTCAGTAATATTGTGGGATTGCCAGCTTTCATTTTTCTTTTTTTCTTTTTTTTTTTTAATCTTTTTTGTTTCAAAAATTTGTAGATTACTTCTTGATTGGTTTGTTGATTTGTAGATTACTTCTTGATTGGTTCAATTTTTCATTTAACTTATTATTTGTATTATTTACAAAGCTTTTTTACTTCACTGCATACTTTCATTGTTATTACTCTTTTACTTTTTCTAATTCGTTTTTTAATTAAATTTTCAGTTTTTTTTAACTAACTTTTAACTTTTTGTTTCTAAAAACGATATCTTTTGATTAGAAGATTCTAAGTCATTTGCAGGGCCGACGACACGGGTTTTAACGTGAAGTGGCGCAGTCGTCAATCGTCGGCTCTGATTTGTAACACTTTTTTTAGCTGAGTTGTTTGTAATGCCTGGTTCGAGTTTATCAAGTCAAGTCTGTAATAATTTTATATCAGCAGTCGCAATCACTGAAAAGCTTTTTCTTTATTGTTTTGATAACTTGTGAGTTTTTTGTATAATTGTGAATAACTGATGAGTTTGCTTTATTAGTGTCTTTTGTTTTTCCAGTACTAAATGAACTGTTTGTTCTATTCTTTCAATAGTAAGATTTCTAAGTTAACATTTTACAATATTTCTAAGCTTATATTTTTAATGTATATAAATGATTCTAATAATGCAAAAAAATTACTATAAATTTTTAATAATGCAAGAAAATTTGTTAAACCCTATTGTTTCTTAATTAATTAGGGGCTTTGCCCAGTAAGCTTTAGACGTATTAAGATGTTGAACAAACATCCATTGAAAGTCTTAGGATATTCCACTGATCTCAAAATAATAACTTTATTATTTTATTATTTTATTATTTATTATTTTGTTATTATTTTGAGATCAGTGAGGATATTCAATGCCCACTCTTGGTATTTTTTCTGCTATTATTCTATTTTCTATAATTTATAATCTATGAGCAAAACATATTTTATTAGATTTCCTTAAACAATAGTTTATATTCAAATTTTCTTATAATTGCGGAAATTGTGGGTTTTAAATATATATATATATATATATATATATATATATATATATATATATATATATATATATATATATATATATATATATATATATATATATATATATATATATATATATATATAGCTAGTTTGTAAACCGTTGCGCTGCAAGGGTAGTGATCAAATTAACTTTCTCTGTCTTTTATACCAATAAATACTTTGTTTTATTGTAGCTTTGATTCTTTTAAGTTTCAAATAAAAAATAACATCTCAAAATTCTGAAGTACATTAGAAAACATTTCTTGATAATAAAAAAAGATAAACTATGTTTTAATCAGTAAAAAAAAATTAAAAGTTAAGGGAATCATTAAGCTATCGACTGATAACCACCGTGCCCAACAAAACAGAGCCCTGCAGCTATGAAAGAAACAACTGTGGAACACCAACCAACAATGTAAGACCATCCGTATGTAAATTGCGTTGTGCTTAATTTAACTGTGTACAAGCATAATGCAACCAGCAAAAGGAAAGCTATAAAAGAATATTGCTTTATAAATAAATTAACAGTAAAATTACACAAAGTAGATAGTAAAAAATGTTTTCATTACAAAAGTATTACCTATCCCTAAAAAATTATCTATAGAGCGGGTGGAATGATGACGCAGATTTTCCTTATTTCTCATTTTTTTATCATCTTTTATTTTCTTAAAATGACTTTATTTTTACCTGACAAAACTTGTTTTGAGCTATGTCTAGCTATGTGCCTTAATAAATTTTTAAACAAATAAGAATTAAATATTTTCGCTTGTGACCAATATAATTAAAATGATTTTAAGAAAATGATGAAAAATGAAATATCTAATGCACTTTACTGCACTGCATTAAAGTGCTTTAGAAATTTCATTTATTCAGTTCAGCTGCAGTACTGCTTCAGTGGAACAGACACAAGCGTTTCCAAGGTTAGACAGACAACTAAACTTAATTGGTTAAAATAAGTTAAAGAATGGGAAATATGAATAATTTTATTGCTTCTGTTATTTTTCCTTGATTAAAATCTTTACTTTACTATGCGTGCAATTTCTATAACAAAGGTGGCCGCCGCTTCGACAAAGAGACTGCATCCGATACTACATTTGTCAAAATTGCATGCGCGATGTGCAATTGACAGTAACACAAATAAGATACAAGGGAAAAAATACCTTTATTTGATAAGTTGTTTGCAAACTCTTTATTTGATAAGTTGTTTTAGCTGATAAACTCTTAACATTTTCCTTTAAGTATTAAGTAGTATGGCATAACAATATGCTTTAAAACTATTGCTATAAAAACAATTACATTTATTTTTAAACTGCAACGCTTTATTTTGTTTGATTTACTATTCCCGTTGGATGTTCATGTGCTATTCCCATAGGATATCCACAAGAACTTTACGGAAAGTATCTTAATTAATTGATATAATTTTAAATATCAAAAATGTTAACGTGTATAAATACAAATACCTGTTGCATAAAGTATTCCAGCAAGTAATCTTATTGATAGTTCTTTTTTAATCAGAATGATAGCGCAGTAAGTGGTAGCAGCCAAGTATCCCAGACATCCCAATACCATGAAAATAGTTGTTACTTTCAAAGCAGCTATAATAAAGTAATTCTATGTAACTTCTATGCATTTTACCGTCAAAAATTAATCAAAGATAATTGTTTTGTGCATTAAGAAAAAAGTGTAAATCTTAATTTATTATTATCATTTTTAATTGGGGCTGTAAACTTGGGTCCCCGTTAAAAATATATATTTATTTCTTACGAGTTTGAACTGTAGATAAAACTCCTTTTTGTAATAAAGACATTAATATATCAAATCAATAATAGAAAAAAATATATTATTGAATTATGTATTACTTGAAAAAAGAAACTCTTACCACTGCTTTTGGGTCTTTGTGTACACAATTTTTTACCAGATACAGTCCCACATCCTCTCCATAACCCAATAAAAATATGCGAGTCATTGTGTGTTGCAGTTTCCCAGTAGTCTGAGGCTGTAGACATTATAACAAATACTAAACCAGTAACTGTTAAACTTAAGACTATATAACGAGTGGACTCTTGAGAGAGCATTTTACTTAAATACAAAGATTGATTTTAACAACAAAAAACGTTTTTACTGATAAGTTTAAAATGCAAAGGAATGAAAAATGTTTTACGAACTATTTTCCCTTATGAAAACTTTAATGTAAGTAACGTGCAAATTTAGATTTAATTGACTTTTTTATACATAACTAATCAATCATTAAAATAATTATTCCTTATTGCACCGTTAAAAATATAATACAACTGATATAACAAAACTGTTTAAATGTACATTTTTTTTAAAAGGTGGAACTATAGTAGATCATTTTCAAAAACCCGTAAAAATGCATTTACAGTTATTAAAAATTTAAGTTAACATTATATCGTTATAATTTCTTTTTATTTTTAAAATCTCTTAGCGATTTTTAAATAAGATAAATTTATAAAAATTTTTAAGAAAAGTATATTAATATGTGCTTGTTTATCGGTGAAAAGTAAAAAAAAAAGTTTTATGAAGAAGAAATAAATCAAAAAACATTTTGATTATAAAAGTTTAAAAAAAAAATGTATAAACAATAGGGTGTACCAAAACCGAACTTACCCCCCTTCCTCCCAGGATACCTCTCAACGTTTTCCCATTCTTTGAAGCCCACTGAGGCTAAAAATTAAAAGAAAAAAATATTCGTTGCCAGGAAGTGATAGCTGTAAAATTTGAAAAAATGATTTTTTTGAAAATAAATGTCCCTTACATCGATGATGAATTAATTCGTAGAGAAATTTATTTTTATCTTTTATTTTATTTTTAATGAAGTTAATAACGATGCTTCGGTTGAATAAAATTATTATTAGTCTGATACATTTGTTTTTATAAGCATATTTTTGAAACATGCTTATTTAAAATGCTGAATAAGCAGATTCAAAAATATACTTTAAGCTTACGAAAACGTGTGTTTTTTTGTAAGAAAGTCAAAAGATACTTTTAAGAATTCCCGTATACAAGAATACACGTCACACTTTTTTTATAAAAAATCCTCAAATACCAACAAAGGAAAAAACACACATTTTACGGTAGTCTTGTAGATGGTTTAAAAACAATAATTCCAAACCAAATAATTAAATTTATCTTTTTAATTGACCATCGCACAGTGTATCGCTTCATACAAGGTAGGTGGACAAAAATCATATCAAGAAATCGACTAATTGATAATATTTTCAAAACAATAGTCTTACGTTAGTAATAACTTGCGGTGTAAATTATGAAAAACATTCCAGGCATTAAAATGTAATTTTATTTTTGAAAAAAATTAAAAATTAACAATGATTACATTAACATTTAACAAGAATTAAAAAATCATTTTAATGCGATGGATTTTACTTTTGAGGGTAAGTACTATTTAATTATATTAAATATTTTATTCAAAAGTTCAGCAATATGTGTTAAAATATGGTTTAACAAACTGCGTTAAAATTGTAAAAATTTTTGGTTAAAATTGTAAATTTTTTGTTTTTTAATCTTTAAATTTATACAACTTTTTGAATCCACATGTATCCACAAGCTAATTTATTAATAGTGCATAGCTAAAATTCTAAGGTGTACAACAAAGAAAAAATTTTCACCACATAAAGCCACAATTTTTTGTTATTAAATTTCATTTAGATCATGTGCGCTCTTTTTCAAAAATGTAGTTATTTGAAGAATGGCGAAAACATAATCAAGAAGAAAGAAATTCTCTTTTATTGGATTTTATTTTGCAAAGATTTTGTGTTACTGATGTCACTGATGTGACTAGAGATTCTGAGAGGTCTTTGCAGTTAAAAATTTTATGTATGGCTTCAAAATTCGCAATAAAATGGTCTGCAGCATTTTTTTTTTTTTTTTAATTACAATTTTTATGATACATATGTTACAAATAATATAAAAAAAGAAAAGGTAACAAGTCAAGATATCGTTAATAAATAAAGTATAAAAAATTAAAATAAAGAACGCGGATACTCAAAGAAGACCATAATTGTCTTGTCACAAAGAAACCGCTATTGAAGAAATCAGAACGTTTTTTTTTGTTTGTTTTTTTTTTTTTTTTTTTTTTTTTTATGGTTTTTCCTTATGTTATGGTGTTTACGCCTTGCATCAATCAAATTACTGTGTCTTCCGAAGAGATGACATAAGATGATGGACTGTTTTTTAAACAAAAATAAAATTTGGTTAGAGTGGGCAAATGTAGAACTTAAAGTAAGTATATACCAGCAATGTACTTGTTCATCATCTGGAGAAATTCAAGGACGACCAAAAAAGAACTTTGAAGACTCGTCCTTTAAAACCAAAAAACGAAGAGTTGAAAACTTAGTAAAATCGCAAAGTTCAACTGAGTTACCCACAGCTGCTGAAGTAACATGCCGTGTGTCGGGGCGCAGAAACCAAGCTACTTTTATCAGAAAAAGTCTAAAAACATCAGAAAAAATTAATTCAAAAGACTTTATTTGTGGTGGCAGGCAGTTAAATCGTGACGAGGCACTAGTTTATTACATTGACTCAAAATGTACGTCTGTTTATAAGTCATTCTTATAAACAGACGAGAAAGTGGTCTTTAAAGGCAGGGCATATATTATTTCCACTTTATTATAGTCTATGCAAGTCGAAAAAGTTATGTTATCCATTAGATGAACATATCTCTGTTACAGAAACACGTGCCGAAATTAGCCTACAAGCTATACTTGATAAAACTACTGAACGCCTAATTGTAGCCCAATACAAAGTTCTTAAAATTAAAAGTATTACTTTTACTACGCCATTCACACTAATTAGCAAATAAGATGTGATGGGAGCTCCGGTCACAGCACGTACAAACAGATATTCAAAAACTCTAATGCTACTGATGAGTTTCTGTTTGTATTTTCATTTGTTCCGTTGAGACTGAGTGACGGTCAAAATATTATTTGGCAAAATCCACGACCTTCATCCACGCCTTATTGCCGACCAATTAAATTTATTTTTTCAAAAGAAACACATCTTTTAACTTCAACAGAAACTAACCAAGTTTTAAAAGACGTTTCTTAACTTGTTCAACATCTACAAAACTTAACGAATCTCAAATTATTGTTAAACACAACCTAATACTATCAATGATAGATGGAAAAGTTTGCAATGCCTTGACTGACACAAGTTCCCAACAAAAATGTTACATATGTGGTGCAACTCCTAAAATGATGAACGGTGAACTAAAAGACTTAGTTGTTAAAAAAGACTATTATGGTTTTGGTCTGTCTACTTTGCATGCGTGGGTTCGTTTTTTTGAATGCATGCTACACATTAGATATAAAAAAAGTGGCAAGTTAGAAGCAATGAACCTGACTTTGGGAATACAAATGATGGGAACACAGCTCGCAGGTTTTTTATGAAGCCAGAGTTGAATGTCGAGATTACGGGTTTAGACATCATCCTCGTTAAAAATTTCAGTATTTTATTAAGAACACTTTCCTTGGGCTATGATATTAACTATTATGAATTTGAAAAGCTTTGTTCTGAAACCAAAACTCTTTATATTAATCTGTATCCGTGGTACTATATGCCTGTTACTGGGCACAAAATATTTGTACATAGCAAGGAAGTTATAAAAACATTCTTCCAATAGGACAACTATCAGAAGAGTCTCAAGAAGCCCGCAATAAAGATTTAGTAGTTATTTTTATTACTTATCTTTTTCAAGACAAAAGTTTTAAAAACTTAAAAGTAATTAAATAGGCCTTCTTCCAATAGGACAACTATCAGAAGAGTCTCAAGAAGCCCGCAATAAAGATTTAGTAGTTATTTTTATTACTTATCTTTTTCAAGACAAAAGTTTTAAAAACTTAAAAGTAATTAAAATACCGCCTTTTTTACAATAAAATTAAAAAAAAAATACTTTTTGTAATAAAATTGATTTTTTGGTGCCCCTTTAAGGTTAAACGCGCAGGGTAATTGCCCCCTGCCTTCCCCAGGCTACCCTACTGAATAATTAATCAATAAAACACCAAAATATTGTTAACTACATTCTTAGGAATAAAATTACAAAACAAAATATTTTTGTCCACCTAGCTTGCATGGAGCGATACACTGTGCATCGGCTACTTGACATGTTACGTTTTTTACTACTGTTCAACCTTATTCTAAATATGTATGCTTTTGAGCACAATTCCATTAGTACATGTACTAATGAAGTTGTGCTCAAAAAAATTAAAAAGAAAAATTTAATTATACAGTTTTGGTTATATATATATATATATATATATATATATATATATATATATATATATATATATATATATATATATATATATATATATATATATATATATATATATATATATATATATATATATATATATATACATATATATATATATATATATATATATATATATATATATATATATATATATATATATATATATATATATATATATATATATATATATATATATATATATATATATATATATATATATATATATATATATATGGCCGGCGCGATAGGGGGTGGGGATTTTTGGACTAAATATCCTCCAGAGAATATTTAGTCCAAAATACCTTTGGACTAAATATTCTCTGGAGAACAAATTTCACATTTATAACATCTTGGTAGATTCCATAAACATGAAGAGTAGCACACCAAAGACAATACCAAGGCACAATTATCAGGGACACATATTTTATAACTACCTAAACATAAATATTCTGTGCACAGCAAGAACATACGACAACTTTAAAAAAACGCGTAATATCGGTTTTACATCGAGGTTATAAATAAAATAAATTTTCTTTAATATTTCTATATTTAAATATTTTTTACTAAACTTAGCTATTAAAAAAAAAATTACATAGGGTTTAAGTTTTTAAAAAACAGCAATGAAACAGGTGTCTCAGCCCTGCTCAAAAAAAAAAAGCAATGAAACAGGTGTCTCAGCTCTACTCAAAAAGCGCTTGAGATGACTTATCAAAATATGTTTTCTCAAAACAATTTTTTTTTTTTTTTTTGTAACTTTAAAAAAAAAAAATTAAAAAAATTATTTTATTCAAAAAATAGAAGCTATTAAATCGTCTTCAAAAGCTATTTAGTCAAGTCTTCAAAAAAAACTCAAAATCTATTGCAAACTTCATTAGTTTAAAAAAGTATATACATTTGTACTTAATACAATTATTTGAAAATATACATAAATATTTGAAAAAAATTCATCTTTCTATATCTTTTGAAAAATAAAAAAATAATGATTAAAAAAAAAAATTGTTGTATCACAAAGATTTTTTTCGACATCGAAAAGACGTCTTTTTTTGTCTTTGTCTTCTCAAAAAAAGACATGAAAAATGCGTCTTTGAGACGTCTTTGTTAATCGATATGCACATCTTTAAAAGTTTTTTTTCTCGGCGTCGGAAAGACTTTTTTTGTCATACTTATTAGTATACATTAGTATCCTATACACTATAGTGTTTCTGCTTTTCATATATGAAAAGCTGCTTTCATTAAATTAAAATGATAATAGTTCTTCATACAAAGTAAGACAAAATTCTTTTTTCGAAGCCGAGAAAAAATCTCTTTTCGAAGCCGAGAAAAAACTTCTTTTAGATCTCAATATAAAAGAGGAAACATTTTCTAACGTTTACATAAAAGAGGAAGCATTTTCTATCGTTCACAAATAGAAGAATAATTTATAAATAAAACAGCAGTATTGTTCAACAGAAAAAATATTCAACAGAATATTTTTTCATCTTTCTCTTTCTCCTCTTTTTCTTGACTCCTTTCATACGAGCTGGCTACGACTTCTAAAAAATGAGTGATCATAAAAAGTAGTCTCTTGTTTTAATTCAATACCAAAAAGCAAATCAATTTTGATTAGTTGAGCGAAACACAAAAAACTTACCAACTACTAATTCAAAAAGGCATGATCCTTTCATACCCTTTTTGTTTCTAGCGCGGTCCTTTCTTATTGTCCTCACTAGGTTAAATTGGAACTTTACAAACTTTACGAGTATCAAAATGACAGTAGAACAATGTAGTACTTAAACCATGCTAAACATTTGTACCTCTCAGATTTGCTATGAAAGCCAAGTAATCGAAAACAGATAACACCTGATGACTAAAAAATGAGACAAAATTTAAATCAATTTATTGTATGCTATTCATAATTATGCAATTGAAATAAATTATTATAATTATAGAGAATTTAATACTCTATTAAAATTATATTATAGTTTAAAAATATTATTTAAAATGGCTTCGTATAAAACATGCAAGAAGACCTAAGAAAACGCATTTGTCAATTTAGAAATTCGTATCTAGAAAAGCCAAAAATGTTCACAGTAAAACACTTTCTAGATGAAGGAACATTAAAATCAACCATATATCATGCTTTAGAACGTGTAGACAATAATTTAGGCTATCAAAGAAAAAAGGAAGCGGTCCAAAGGCAAAAAAATGGACAAAAACCACATAGTTCAATTGAAAAAGGCATTTGATCATCATCACGATGTTTTGTAACGTCAAATAGCTCAAATTTTTTTTTTTTTTAATTTTATTTAGGTGCCCCAAGGAGTCCTTACGGTCTTATCACAGAGCACCGCGGATGAGCATTTAATTGGAAGTTCAGGCCTCCTTCCTAAGCGATGTCGCGAGACTTGCCCAGAGGTGGGTTTGAACCAGGGATCCTTTGTTTCTGAGGCAAGTGTGCTACCACTATACCACGGCTACTACGATTCGATTGTGACCTTTCGTATATATCTAAAATTCTTAAAAACAAGATGAATATTAGATATTACAACAAGAAAAAAATTCTACATCAAAGCGAAAGCCAACTAGCTCGAATCAAATCTTTATGTCGGCAAATTTATTGCAATTTTAGGAATTTTGATTTTGTCTTGGATGACGAATCATATTTCACATATGGAAATCCAACATAGGCTGGCAACAATGGCTTCTATTTTAGCGACATTTCATCTACAACTAGCAACGTCAAATTTAAAAGAAAGAAGAAGTACGAGGAAAAGGCGCTTGTCTCTTTGATTATATCGCCCAAAGGGACTTCAAAATCTATGTTTTTCAAAAGTGGCCAGGCAATCAACAAACAAGCGTACATTGGATGTCTCCGCAAATAGTAAATACCCTTCATTGATGAACATTATAAAAACAAAGAGTACTTATTCTGGCCAGATTTCACTAGCTCGCACTATGCAAATGAAGTGGTTTCTTTTCTCGGTACCAATAACATCAAATACCTGCCAAGGGTAAAATATCCACCCAATGTACCAGAAGCTTGACCTATTGATGACTTTTGGGTTCAGTTGAAACGCTTAGTCTACGACCCAGTGGGCACACGATGTTATTTCGACGTTGATTTACAGTTGATTTTTAGTCGCGACGTCGTATAACCAAAAATCAACGTTGTATCAACGTTGAAAAATTTGTTTAAAACTATCAAATAAAATCGACGTTGATTCCACGTTAATTCAACGTCTATATTACGAGCTCGATCGTTCGTAATTCCAATATGAGAACTAAAATACGCATGCGTGACTTAAAATTTTTTTTATTAGCATAACAAATAACAAGTAAAGACTGAACAAGTTACTTATTTGCCCAATAAAAACAAGTAAAGTCACACATGCTAATAAATTAGGTCATCTGTTGTCTTTTTATAAGGTTTTGAATTTGACAATTTAAAAATAATACATGGCTTAACTTGTGATGCAGTTAGTTAGGTAAATATTAAATGGATATTTCTTTATGACCGTATTATTTCATGAGTGTGGATTACAAGTAGAGACTACTTGATATATTATATAAATATAAAATATATATTATATATGTTTTTCTTATTTATATAATATATATATATATATATATATATATATATATATATATATATATATATATATATATATATATATATATATATATATATATATATATATATATATATATATATATATATATATAATATTCTTAGATCATGAATTATGTAATAAATTTGAATTTGCCTCTACTAGTGATACTCAGATAGAATCAGGTTCAGAAAACAGTAACTATTTCAAAAGATACTTTATTCTGTCTTTCTGATATATCTTTATTGTTAGAAAGAGATGTTAGTAAAAACTCTTTCCAGTAATTAAAGTAATATCATGACAAATAGTTCTGAAATTCTATGGATGAACTTGCAGCAGTAATTTAATGATTATAACAGTTTAAATGATTCTTGGTTGAGGTCAGAAGTGATGAGTTGTTTCAAACCATGACTTTTTGCAGTTTTTTGATTAAGTATTTATTAATAACTTAGCCTAAGTTAATCTACTTGTAACTTTTTATAAATGTACTTTAAAAATATTGTGGTGTAATTATTTTCTTAAACCTTTAAGTTAACAAACTTTCAAAAATTGGAGGTAAAACCATCAAGACAAATACAAATAAATGTGATGCAAAGGTTTGTTAAAAGTAGTTTTAAATAAAAAATCTTTTGAATCTTTTTATTATAGTTTGTTTTAAACTTGTGTTAAAAAACTGTGTAGCATATATTTTTAAAAGTTTGACGAATTCTAATCAGACATAAAATAAATCTTTTTTTTTTTATGTCTGATTATAAGTTTTTTTGTAACTGTTTACTCTTACTTTTGTATTTCCTTGAGCTAAAGAACAACCTTAAAGTACAAAGGTTGATTTGTAACGCATACTTAACCTTTTTTTTTACTCTATATATACATACATATATATGTACATAAATAAACATACATATATATGTATGTATATATACATACATATGCTTATATGAATATATTATATATATATATATATATATATATATATATATATATATATATATATATATATATATATATATATATATATATATATATATATATATATATATATATATATATATATATATATATATATATATATAGTTTTTATATATATAAAGTTTTATTTATATATATAAAGTTTTTTCTTTTATTTATAAAGTTGTACTTGATAAAAATAAATAAATAAAGTTGAACATTTCGAATATTTATTGGTTATTATGATAAATTATATAAAAAATATGTAAAGTATAAATATTTTGCAAAAGCACTTTTATTTGCAATAACTGCTTCATTGCATTGTGGCATGCTTGCAATTTATTTTTTATAGTTTTTGTCAACTCTGGGTTATTATGCCAGATCTTGATAATCTCTTCCATAAGATCTTGCTTATTAGTAAGATTTTTTTTTTTCCAATCTTTTGCTTTACTATTTCTCAAATGTTTTCTATGGGGTTAAGATCATGCAAATTGTCTGGCCATAGCAATACATCAACTAAGCCATAACAGTTTTTATTGTGTGGCATGTTGCACCATCTTGCATAAATATAAGATTTTTGACATTATTTTTAATATTTTTGAATTTTTTTGTCACTTTTTGACTTTTTTGGCTGGACATCAGTCCCTCTTCTTTTAGCCTTCTACAAATGGTCCGGTCTGACACAACTATTACAGCTTCATGGGTAAGCTTAGTGGCTTTTTTTCTGTTTTACAGGCAGATATTTCTGATTATACTGTCCGCTCTTGGTGTTTTCTTGCGCTTAGAAGGTGGTCTCCTTGGACCAAACTCTTTCCCTGTATCAATTCTTTTTCTTACTTGCATTACGGTTTGGTACGAAACCTTTGCGGTTTGTGCAATTTTTCATTGAGAATAATTTGTATTTTGGAAAAGACATTTAAAACTTACTTTTATTATAAGTAGGAAACCAATATATTCCTCCAGAAAGTTGATCACCAGATTGTCTTTCCAGAATAACTAACAAAGAATGACAAATCACCAGGGGCTAAACACCCCTTTGCCCCCTCAGGACAGCCCTGGGGAACATGGGTGAAAGAATTTTTATTGCTTTAAATATTTTAGCTGCAAATATTACTGATAGACCAATAGTGAATACTGAAGTTTCCATTTCTAATGATAGTATTGGTGTTAAAACTGCTCCTGCCATTTCACCATCGACATCATTTAATTTATGAGAAAGGGCTCCTGTGAATTTACCATCAATATTATTTATTGTTTTACCTAAATAATATGACCTCTTTCCAAAGCCAGGTTAAGAATAACAACTAATACAAAAAAACACATAATAGATGTAAAAGAAAATTGCATATTTTAACTGATACACCTAAAATAACAAAACAGATTATCTTAGTTTTTAAATGATGAAAGTTCTGATGAAATTTATTTTGGAGTAAATATACTTACTTTAAGTAAAATTTTTCTGAGTTTTTTAATCATCAAGTTGGCCGAAATAAAATAGATAAAGCTAGATAGAGCCTTGATAAAGCCTAGAGGCTTTATTTAGCAGAAGTTATAGAAGTTGTTGGTATAGTTTACAAAATTAAGTATTATAAGAAATCAGGAGACATTTGTAATAAATTTATATGAGACGATGACGATTTTACCATTCTACAGAATTTAAATATACATTATTTCTTCTAAAGCTTGTTTCTAATAATAAAAATTAATTTTTAGTTTAACAGGTGTTTCGTTTTTCTTATATTTAGTGTATGACAGCATGCAACCTTAATCAAACTTTTAACCTGACAAAGTGTCTCATAACTTGTAAAGTATGTTGAACTTTTTGTTTAAAAATAAAGTTTTTTTATTAGCTTTTTTCAGAACTTTTTATTGATTAATTTCTCTACTTTGTGTAAAAATTTCTTTATAAAGTCTTTATGAAAAAAGTTATTTGACATTTGAAAACTTTATGAATAAAGTTTTCAAATGTCAAATTCTTTATGTAATATTTCTAACAAAAAAGTTATACTAATTTCAATAAAATTGGTTATTACTACCATGAAATTTCTGTAATGCTATTAACTGTTTTTGCTCTTTTTTAGAAAATTTAGAAAAATAAATTGAAATTTCGTGCCACTACTGACATGTCACATGTTATTGTATGTAAAGATTAAATTTTTGTTATGAGAACTACAGTTCTTATGAAAGAAAAAGGTAAAGAGTATTGTTTGTATATAAATATTTATATTTTGTTTACTTTAAATCTTTTAAAATTTTTTCATGCCATTTTTAAAATTTTTGTTTGCACAATTCAAGTTATATGTTTATTGTTTGCATTGCTTTTTTGATAATTATGTGTATATTGTAAAATGTGCTTTATAGCTTTTTTATCAATGTGTTTTTATAATAATGTAACATGTTTTTTTATTGTTTGTGTATGTGTTAATATAAGTTATATAATTGTTTTATAAAAGTGTATAAATATGTTTATATATGTTTTCAAAGTGCTGTGAATTGGTAAACGTGTTAAGCAAGATTTGTCAACCTTGCCAGCCAAGTCACTTACTGCAAAGGGTTACAAAGCAGTGTTTCGTTTCAAACTGTTACTGCTTTAGGTCTAGGTGTTTTCAAGCCTTTATTAATAATTACTCTGAAAATACATAATGTATTTTAATAACATTTTGCGTAATGTTGTTACTGATGTTCTGTTATATATGAATGTTATGTTTCTTAATTTATGTTATATGCATATTATATGAACTTATGGTGAATACTATTGTTGTTGTGATGATGCTTTTTTGTAATCTTTTGAGTTGATATACATTTGGTTTACCTTCAAGTTGTTGTCTACTGTTAAAAATGATACATAGTTAATTTCATTATTAGACCTCACTGCATTTAATCATTCACTAAAATTAATATTTAGATTCACTAAAAGCCTACTACTACTCTGGTAAATCACTTCAGCTTTATCAGGTACAATGATTTCATTTTTTTGTATGTAATTTTTTTCTTATTTACTTATTTGTTACATTTTTTATTTATCAAATGATGTATTTATGTGGTATAGAAGAACAAAATATTGTTAAGTTTAGTGAATTTTTTAAAAATTTTTACTAATATTTTTTTCAAATAAATAATATTGAAGTTTGCTTAAAAGGGTTTTACTACGTTTTTTTTTTTAATTTTTCTATATTAGGAGTTTTCATTTTATTATTTTTAATGCAAATATCTATTTTTTATTATATTATTATTTTTTCTTTAGATCTAAATTGGAGCAGCTACAGACTATATTGCTCCCAGCACCCAGGACCACTCTGAGAGGTCCTTTAACAAATGTTGCAGTAATAATGGTATGGAATAGCCCTCTTTCAAATGGAGGGCTCATCCATACAGGGGTGCTGGGAGGCACCAAGTAAAAAATTGCAACAAAAAATTTTTTAATATATTCAATCAGTAAAGACATTAACTTTTTTAATATTAATTTTTTTGTTGCTGTTTTTTCCTTGGTTTTTATTTTCATTAAAAAAATATATATATTTTAAATTGTTTTTTTTTTTTTTTTTTAGTATTTGTTTAGATTATTATTTATAGTTTTTATTACTTTAATTTTTGATTCACAATATTACATGGCTATTATATTGCTTCGAATATATACCATATCAGTTAATCATTTTTGAAAAAATGTACTGCAGCAATTTATTAATTATAACAAAAATCACATTTAAATTTGTAATATTTTTAAGTTATAATTTTAAACTAATTAGTTGATTTCCAGCAGATTTTATTTCTTTTGATTGTTTTGAATTTAATAATTTAGTGTTTATAGCTTTTAACTTATGTTAAGCTTTAATAAATTTAATCTTCTGATTTTAATGTGTAATAAATAATATAAAATATTGGAAAAAAGATTAAGTAATAAAAAAGCAGATAATTAGTCTTTGATAAACTTTGTCATGTTGCTTATTATATTGTTGGCATTTCAGTGATGCTGTTAAATTTTTTTTTTTTTCTTTAGAATTTAGAAAAATGAATTAAACTACAACTTTTGAACAGTCATTGTTTGTGAAGGTTAAATTATTTGCATGTTTTTTATACAATTTTTTTATAGAAATAGTATTAAAGTTTACCAAAAGGGGTTTACAAATACTTTACTTTTTATTTTTTGTCTTCTTTTTTTTGTATCAACAGTACCCTTTATCATTAAATAAAAAATTCACAATCTTGTTGTATAATTTGGTTTATTTTAAATGAAAATTTCCTATGTAATGTTTTAAAAATTATTCTTTGTGTGTGTGCAATTTAGAGAAGTAAAAAAAAAATCACAATCTTCAAGATTCTTTTAAGATTTTTTGTTACTACTATCAATTAAAAGTGAAGTTTAAATGGATGATATAAGGCTAGAAGTGGCTATTAGTTTAGAAAATGATGGAAATGTTATTAAGCAAGTTGAAAATAATCGTCGCAGAAATGCAAGAAATGGGCTGATGCGGGATGAAATTAATAATCAACACAATGCTAGATATGCTGCATGGCAAGCCACGAATAATTTAAATCAAAATGAGGACAGTGTGATTAGGCAAGTTGAAAATAGTCGTCACAGAAATGCAAGAAATAGGCTGAGGCAGGATGAAATTAATAATCAACCAAATGCTAGATATTCTGCTAGGCAAGCAGCATATACTTTGAACTGAAATAGGGAGAAAAAAGGGCAAGAAAAGATGTCACTATAATCTCCGTTCACATAATGAAGTTGCATTTTTTGGTGAAGATAGTGCTCCACCTACTTCCAGTGAAGTTGTTATTTTCCCAAGAGGTCATCCTCTTAAAATATATCAAGTATGTCTGTCAAATTAGAGCCTATGGTTTGTTCTTTATTTCTTCTAAGGGGTGATGCTGGTTGGCATAATCAATTGGTTTACAATCCTGAACGTGCTACATTGATTAAAAATCACGTTACATTATCTCAGTATTATAGTTATAGACTTTTAGTTGGACAATTAACCTAAACAAAAAAAGTAGGTGAAGTGATTTTTAGTAACTTCAGATCACTTTGTTGTTATTTTTTTATTACTATTAGAAGGTTAATAATAAAAGTTTTTAGGCAGTAGAACAGGTACTGATTTTAGTTTGCTATATTTTTTTACTTAATATTTTCATTAGATTTAATAGGTTTTTTTAATTACTTTGGAGTAAAATATATTGAGTGATATTACTTCATTTTTTACACTTTTAGATTATGTATTGTTGTCTAGATTCTTTGTTAAATTACAATTTAATGATGTAAATAAATTTTTATTTTTATTTTTGATAGACAACTTTTATCGAAAAAATAAAAATTTAAGGAGGCGTGAACTTCCTATTAAATGCTTATCCACGGTGCTCTGTGATAAGACCTTGAGGACTTCGTGGAGCACTTAAAATAAAATTAAAAAAAAAGTTGTTGAAATATAAGAAATGCTGCTCGGCGAGCAGAAAACTTACTTGCCAGAATTCAATGTCAAGCGGTGTTAATGTGTGTTTATTTGATTTTATTTTAAACACTTTAAAACACTTTAAACCAAATAGTTTTAAATTTAAATGATTTTAAATTTTTTTATAAATTCAAACGTAATTATGTTCTTTTTTTTTTAGTTGCCTTTGTTATCACTTGATTAGTTTGCTTACTGTTGAAACATGGTTTTAATTTTGTAAATTTAATGATTTGAAATTTACTCTATTAATTGTTAGTTGACAGTTAAAGAGAAGCTGGAGCTTTACATAATAAAGGTAAAAATAATTTTGTTTTCTCTTAGATAAGAGTTGAAAGAGAGTTAGTGCATGGAGCATCAATAAAACTTATATAATTACTTTTTAGTTTAAAAAAAAGTAATTATATAAGTTTTATTAATGCCACAATTGATAATGACCATGTATATAAAAAATTTTATGAGCTGCTTGGTATTTTATGATAAAATTGTTCAATATTGTAATCAATAAAATCTTTTTAGCTCAAGTATTTTAGTTGATAAAATATCTTAAGTTGTGGTGTTATACGTTATTACGTTATTTACTACGTTAAGTTGTCTAGCCTTTATATAATCTTTTCAAATAATACTTTGTAATTATTTTTCGTTCCTTTTTTTAGGCATTAGAAGGCTTTACTTGACTTTCTTTTTATGGTACCTGCTGTGTTGTAACAGATCTTAAAAAGAACTTTACGGATGTTAACGTAGTCTTTTTTGTTGGTAACCGTAAGCAATTATTTAATTACTAATAACCCGTATTACGGGTTGCTTACTGCTAGTAACAATGTATAATGCAGGTTGTTGACCAACGGTTTATAATCAAAATTTAATATGGCTGGCGGTAAAGGTAAAGAGAAGTTTAAAGGAACAAACACTAGGTATTTACTTGTAAGTTAAGTGTAAAATTATATATTTTTTAAAAATCACAGTTCGTTTTTTTAATGCTATTTTATTTTTAACTTTTTGATGTATTTGATGCAAATTACTCAGGCAATACCTTTTTTTATAGAGAGCGTTTTGTCAATTAAAGTGACTGCTACAGTTACCGAAATAAGAAAAGGAATAATGACTTTATTAAAATACGCACTCGACAGATCAAATGGTGGTGATCGGCGCGTAAAAGGCAATTCATCCGATGTATAACATTCATACTTTTTCCTAGTTGTTCTGGAACTATTGATAATAGTTATTATTGATAAATTGATAAATATATTACTGATAAATAAAACTTTTTTTTTTCAAACATTTTACTTTATTTGCATTGTATATAAAGTCCGCTTAAGCAATTTAGTTGTATCTGATTAATTTACGTGAAATATAATATCCTCTGCGCAAATTATTGCTTTTTTATTGTATTATTTTATTGCAATTAAAGTTGAGATAATTTTTTAGTTGATTGGATTTAACCAAAATAAAAAACAAAAATCAACGTTGAATTTACGTTGTTTCAACGTTGTTCTGACGTCTTATCAACTACGTATCAATCGAATATATCACCTATTCAAATTTGAAATATGGTTGATATATAGTCGATAAGACGTTAGATCAACGTTGAAACGACGTAATCATCGACGTTGTTTCAACGTCGTAGTTTTCGACGTCGGATTTTATTTCCAATTCAACCAAATTTCAACGTTGTTTCAACGTGGTATATGGTCGGTTTGCGACGTTGTTTCAACGTTATTTCAACGTCATTGTGCCTGCTGGGGAGGATAATTGGCAAGCAACAAGCATTCTTCAACTCAAAGGCGTATTGTGAATTGTCTTAACAAAATGGATCCGGAAGTGACAAAACGTTATGTCTCAATGACTTCAGTTCGTCTAGGTCGAATTGCTTTTAATGATGTTATTGAAAACCAATAAATATACTTTTTTAAGTATGATATAACTGTTTATAAATTTATTTTAAATTAAATTTGATAGCTATCTAACTATGGCTATAATAACAATTTTAAAGTTGTCTCATTTTTTAGTCATCAGGTGTTATTGGTACTTTTCTGCCATCTATGACGTGACTTTTTAATTTAATTTCGGTGAAATTAAGTGTTATAGACCCATATCAATTTAAATTTACATAATTTATGTTATTGACTAAAGACTATCAAAAACGAAAAAATGATTCAGCTAATACACCTTGAGAGTTGTTAATCATTTAAACTGGATAAAAGTATTATTCAAAGCTCTATTTGCAACTATGTTTAGCTATAAGAAAAGTATTATTCAAAGCTGCAACTATGTTTAGCTATAAGGAAAGTGTACCATTCAAATATCATTTTGACTTGGTCTTTTGTATCCAAACCAAAAGTTATGCAGACAATTCTAAAGGTATATCTGTTGATATTATGTGCATTTTTACTTGCTTTGTTACGACAGACAACAATGAAATAACAACTTTAATATAAAGTTAAAGAACCAATCTTTTGTCTTAAAAATTTCATCATTTAACTAAATACAAACAACAAAATTATTCAGATAATTTAAAAACATTAAAAAAAAAAAAAAAAACTGCAAGCTTACTGAATGGCACTTGAACAAGTAAATGCAGACAGAAATTGTTTACAGGTTTTATTTTTCGTCTGGAAATAAATATTTTAATTTAATCTGTAATAAACAAAACACATTAAAAAATTAGTCCAAAAATTTTACATTTGCAAAAGTTATGACAATAGCCATAAAACTATTACTACAATGAAATCATCATCACTATCATAAATAATATTAATAAGGCTTTTAAAGCAAAAATAAATTAATGATAATAGTAATAATAGTAATAAAATTAAAAATAAAAGTAATAATAGTTTTATAAATACAGTAATATAAAAAAGCAATAATTATAAGATAAAATTAATATTCATTAGAAATAAAAATTTCTTAATTTGATGTTTAATTGATGTTTTAGAGAGAGCTTGCAATATTTGATAGTGTTGAAAAAGGAAGAGTGCAAGTTAAAATTTTCAGTATTTCGAGTGTAATATTTGTGTATGTCACTTGTTTTAATAAAAAAATTACTGAACGAATTTGGTAATTTATTTTGAAGAAAATCAAACACAAAGAGACAATTATAAAGCTTTACAAAATCTTGAAATTTTAGAATTTTTATATCAGAAAACCTATTTTGGATATTAAATTGTAAAGGAGAAAACGTCATAATTCTTATGGAAGTGCGTTGTAAACTGTTTATACAACTTAATAGAAAACTAACTTTTTGACCCCAAACAGTGCAACAATAACATAGATGTAAGGAGAACAAGGAATAGTAAATTGATATTAGAATATATTAAGGAATATAGTGTTGTATTAATGATAACATACTATTGGCACGTGAGAGTTTTTTATTTAATTGAATTAGTTGATAATACCATGATTTTTGTCGAGAATAAGTCCAAGGTATTTTATATATTTAGATGGGAAAAGTCTTTTATCATTAATTCTAATTTTCACATTATCATTATCAACCGTTTTTTTGGAGGTTGAAAAATAATAAATTCAGTTTTATTGATATTTAGAGAAATACAGTTACTATTTAACCGATGATATAAATGATGGAGATCTGAATTGACGTTTTTACAAAGCTGTTCGAGTGATTTATTTATGCATAGAAGATTAGTGTCTTCAGCAAAATGATGAACAATCGAATTGTTTATAGAGTGAGACAGATTGTTATTATATATAAATAATCGTTATTATATATAAAAATAGTAAAGACCCTAGAACAGGTCCCTGTGTGACACTATATTTAATAACTTTACTTGTTGATGGAAACCCATTAATCGAAACAAACTTAGTACGATTTTTAATGATGGATGTAAACCAATCATTAGCGATACTCGGTACACCATAATGATCCAATTTTTCTATTAAAATCTTATGGTCAATAGTATCAAATGCTTTTTGGAGATCAATAAAGACGCCACAAGCAAAAGAACTGTTCTGAAATTATGGCTTTACAAAGTTTGAACCCCCTCATTTTGAGGGGTTTTGAAATTTTATAAGGTCATAGTGTTTGAACGCTTAGAGATTTTTGTAAAAACTTTATAATTTATCAATGAATATCCGCGCCTGTATATATAGTGTTTTAATTTTATTGTTTGAAAAGGAAATTGAAAAGCACAGAAGTTAAGGTGAGTTTCCACTCATCCGTTTTTCTACGGGAAAGGGAAAGGGAACGGAAAAATAATCACGAGAGTATGCGCAGTTTTCTTTCGGACAAATAAAAACTCTTATTACGCATGCTCACGTGATTATTTTTTTCCTTCCTATCCCGTTCCCGTTGAAAAACGGATGAGTGGAAACTCATCTTAAGTTTTCTGATAAAAATGAAAACTGAAAATATCTTTAGCATAAAAACTCGGAGTAATTTTTTATTATCCAGGAATTCATCCATTATACAGAACTCATATATTTTTTTCTTTACTTTATGAAATTAAAAAATGTTATCCTGAATGTGTTATTGTGACAGAAGCATCTGCTTTAATTTTTCAATTGTGTACGTTAAATCGTACTCTGAAAAATACTAACTTTTTATGTCAAAATTCTAGACGAGAACTTTGGTGAAATTTTGAAGGTGTACGTTACTTTAAAATGGGGTTTTGATGATGTTTTAAATCAAAGTTTAAAAAAATGTTTAAAAACAAAAAAATACTGATACAAATATTAGCTAGCCTAAGCTACTAAAAAAACTCTTTTTTAAACAGTAATTGTTCCACTTAAAGAGTCTTGAATCCTATATGATCTAACAACTTAACTAGGGTTCTGCGGAGCATTTTTCAAAGTAAATAGAGTTTTTAAGTCTTGTGTGATTTAAAAAGTTAACTTGTTAAGAACAATACGCAAAAGATAAACCTAAGGATGCTTTCTCAGAACTCAGGAATAGGCGCAGTGAAGTATAATTTTTTTTTATCAATTTAAAAAATTGAGCTACAATCTACTGTTTATCTTTTTTTTTATTATTGTGTTTACATTATTGTTTATTGTTTTATTTTACAGTCTATTGTTTAATGACTTTAAATACGACAACATTTTTGAAATATTATTATTTTTTAACATTGGTTGATATATTATACATTTTAAAAATGTTTACAAAGAATTAATAAGAAATAACAACGGTTACAATTATTTATCTATGTTAAAATCTAAATAAATTTTATTTATTTTGCTAAAGAAAAAGATAAGTAAAAAAAAAAGTTACAAATTTTTTTTTTTGCTCATGCTATATTGATGCGTATTCCATTTGTTGAGTGAAACAAAGGATTGTAGATAAAACCGAAACTCCTGCTGAGCACCATCCTATTATATAAGACCAACCAAAAGAAGCATCTTTTTCGCTAACTTTATTTGTATACACACCCAATCCTACCACCAAACACAAAGCTAAAACAAAGAAAACAAATAGGTTTAAAAAGATTTGATAGAAAATTTTTAAAAGGTTTGCTTTATCGTAAGAAACGGTTCACATAACCTTTATATAACTTTTAAGTCTCACGCGAATAGAATTTTATAGTGACAAAAATATGATGATCATTAAGATAATATCAGTCTTAATTTTTAACAAAATATTCTTTAGACTTCTTTGTTCTTTTGCATAAATATTTTTTATTCGTAAATATTTACAAATAAAAAAAAAAGAACAGAAATGTGAAAAACACTTTATTTCAGGTATTTAAAACAAAATATATTTATTTAGTTGGAAAATAAAATGTGTATTTATTTACAAACGAACAGTTTTGACAAAGTTGTTATGAAGGGTGAAAAATTCTTTAGCCTAAAGAAATCTAAAAAGCACAAAAAAACATTCTTTAACTAAAATTTAACAAGTGTAAAGACAATACCTTCGTCACCGCTGTTCTTTTTCCCTACACCCCTTGGTCATACATATATTTTATTTTTCTAACACTATTTAAAGGTAAAGTTTATTTGTAAACTGTTAATTTACGGTTTAAAAAAAAAAAAAAAAAAGTAATCACATTCAGTATTTAACAATAATAAAGATTTTTTACAAACCCCACCCCCTCAATTTGAGACGGCAACAAATTTTATATAAGTATAATTTTTGAACGCTAAAAGATTATTTTATGAAGTTTAAGATTTATCGATGAATATAAATTTAGTTAAATTATTTTTTGTATGTATGTATGCATAATTTTCTCAACTTAATTTAATTGTAAAAAAGATGCAAGTAATATCTGATAACGAAAGAACAAATTAATAAAAAAACGATTTTCTTTTTCTTTTTAGAAACTTTTAACCAATTGAAAACAAGTCACGCTTATTTTATATCGAGGGAATCATATTTGGTGATTGAGATTAAATCTAATTTTAACAAAATGGGTGATTATCGAGTTTTCATTTCCCATAAAACTCTAGATAGTCTAGAAGAATCAAACTATATATAATTTTGTTTGTTTGTGTGTACTCCAAGTTGGCACAAGACGTGGTTTTTTAACGTGTAAAAAACAAATTAGTACATGTTTTAGAAGTTTAAAACACGTTTTGTGCCCTCTAAAAATAGACACAAATGTGTATTTTTTTCATATACTAAGACACAAATATGTAAAAGCTCAACAAGTTCTTTGAAATCCCTTTATAATTATTATAACTAATTATAACACTAATTCAATTAACATTTTATAATTAAGTGTAAAAAAACATCTTGTAAAATATTATTGGTTTGTTTTTTTTAAACCGCAAGAGTTCTACTAATATTACGTCATTTGTAAATATGAATATAAATTTATTGCCGGTCATTTAAATTTATTGCCGGCCATTTTCTAAATTAATTTGAAGAATCTCAATTTACTACATCTAATATAATAATTAGTTAAGAAAATGCAAAAAAACATTGTATCACATTTTAAAAAGGGTCTTAAAAAGCATATTGTTTTTGAAAACATTTTTGTAGAGGATAACCTAAAATAATTTTAAAAATTATTACGTTTTTAAATTAATGTTGTTTTTTTATATTAGGCCAATTTTTCCAAGCTGTTGGAATATTGTTTAAAACAAAAGATTGTAAAAACCCTTTTAAGTTTCCAATAGTATTACTATTTTCGTCGGTTTTTAAAAAACAAAAAAAATTTTTTTTTTTTGTTTTTTAAAAACCGACAAAAAAAATCTGTTATTTTTTAAAGCATTTTATGTTTTTTTTTTTTTAAATCAAAAATTTTAAAAAATGCGCCACGATTATAAATATGAGCCAATAAACATGACATTTTTTTGGAAAGTTAATTGTAGTACTACTAACTTTGATTCTCGATGTGTTAAACCGTCTAGCCTTTTTAATAAACTTGACTGGGAAAACCTACCACTATGTCTAACGTGCTATGCTGGTATACTGCATATAGACCATTTCTAAATTGGTTGAGCTTTTAAAAAATATTTAAATTTTGTCAAAACTTTAGACAAGGCATTCTCAAGACGCAACTTGCGCAGTTTTAAAACATTTTTACTTTCGTTATTAAATTTATCGGGGGATCCGTTTCTATTTACAATCAATACTATTACATACTACTACCATAGTACGATAGTACCATACTACCATACTACCATAGTACTACTCAATACTTTATGATAAAGTAAAATATGTTATATTCATAAGCAATAAAGTAAAATATGTTATAATATTAATATTCTAACCGAGGTTTCCACGGATTAAAAGTTATGAATTTTAGAAAAACATCAGAGAATAAAGTGATAGCCAGAAAAAAATCAAGTTAGAAAGACAGCATAAAAAAGAGCAGACAGATTCAATTAAAATTAAAATGTTTGTGGCTTTGTACCTGTTACAATAAGTAGAACAGCTGAGATTTTATTACTCCAGTTCTTTTTTAGAAAAAGTAGACCGTTGTATACAAAACCGAGTAAGTATGTCACGCAACCGGCTATCATAAATGCTTCTGTAGCAATTAGGGCATCTAAATGTAAATTACATATAATTATAATTAAAAATGATGTAAAAAAGCATAATCCTCTTTAAGATATATATATATATATATATATATATATATATATATATATATATATATATATATATATATATATATATATATATATATATATATATATATATATATATATATATATATATATATATATACATATATATATATATATATATATATATATATATATATATATATATATATATATATATATATATATATATATATATATATATATATTATAACAACAATAATAATAGAAACTACTTATTTTTTAAAGACTTTACAAGTTCACAACTTATCAAAGTCACTCGAAATACACAAAACTTACAAACGCAACAACACTCTCAAAATATTTATGATACAAAAAAAAGAAAAGCAGCACTTAACTTACACAGTCAATCATAAAAAGCACATCCCCCATACAATAACATTACAAACATAGTGCCCGATATGTGATATGTGTATACAAAAAACTAACATTTTTGTTGTACTAAAATAGTTAAAAAAAACTAAAAAAAGAATTAACACACATACGTCGTCAAGACAAAAAACCATTACCACAAACCAAAATACGAGAAAACCAAAAAACAAAATGACGAAAGTTTTGACGTAGTTTATTTTGTACAGAAATGCTTTCATAAGGAAAAAATTTATGTTTATCTGATGATTGCTATTAGAAAGAACTTATAGTTGTAAAAAATATGTATTTTATAATTATTAATAATATTATTGCTTTGTTGTTTTATATATATATATATATATATATATATATATATATATATATATATATATATATATATATATATATATATATATATATATATATATATATATATATATATATATATATATATATATATATATATATATATATATATATATATATATATATACATACATATATACACATACATATGTTCAGTGAAAAAAGTACGTTAGTTTAACTTTTTAATACCAGTTTTGTCCCTGTCCGCACAATATGAAGTTGATAACGGTTTTCCACAAATTTTCCATAATCCCACATGTATTAAAGTGCTTGTTGAAGAAATTTTTTCCCAATAGTTTCCAGCTGTCGATAACACAGCCAAAACTATACCTAATACCATTAATCCGCAATTTATAAAGTATATAATTTTTAGTGCAGTCATCTTGGAAGCTTGAATATTAAAAAATGCCGAGTTTACTCCTTTTAAACACTTTGTGGCTATGCGTAATACCGCAATTTGTTTTGGTTTCGCGGATAAGCAAAGATTTATCGCACTTAGTAACGAACTTGATAACATAAACAAACTCCACAAAAATGTTAACAAATTATTATGTAATTAAAATTTTTTTCTTTAAACATTTTTAAAACGTTTTTCAACTTTTTTTCTTCATAAAATATTTTTAGTTTTAAAAACTTTTAATAAACATTGAGAAATAAAAACTATATATATATATATATATATATATATATATATATATATATATATATATATATATATATATATATATATATATATATATATATATATATATATATATATATATATATATATTAATTCTCTTATTTAGGTACCCCAATAAGACCTAACGGTCTTGCCACAGAGCACCGCGGAAGTGCATTTAACCAGGAAGTTCACGCCTCCTTCCTTACCGTGACGCGAAAATATGCTCGTTTTGAACCTGGACCTCCTGCTTCTAAAGCAAGCGTTCTAACCGATGCTCCATGGCCGCACAATATATATAGAAAAATATATAGAAACACATATATAGAAAAAATGTTGTATAATAGGACAGTTTGGGATAAAATATTGTTGTTTTTTTAACTTGTATAAGGTTTTTGATTTTAGTTTTTTTATTGCCCTGTATTAAGACAAAATTTGAAATATGATTTTTGATAAGGAGGTAAGGAAGTAATAAATTATTTTTTACGCCTTGCAATGTAAAAAAAACTGATTGAATAAGTGTACAAAACCTCAAGTTAGCAAATAAACTTGTACAAAAATAAGAACTTTTGTTCTAAATAAATAAATAAAAAGGTATTTTTTACTACAAGGTTAGTCCTTTTTTTTCATTCCTATTAAATACCAAAACATATGCATCGAAATCAACGGGTAACTTTATTCACTTGTTTTAGACGCTTTGAACCTAAAGGCTAACCGATATAAAATTTTTAAAGCAAGGGTATTGGTCAAGCGCGCAAACAGGCATTTATTGATTTTCTGATGACATATGGTACTGGCCTGATAATTGTCAACTGTTGTAAATAATTTTTTTACAAAAAAAAATTCTAAAAACTTCTCAATTTTGCATTAAAACATTCTCTGTCTATAAAATGTATTAGGCAAATAAATATTTGGTCTGGCATAATTTTTACGAATCAATTGAAAAAAGTGATTTGAATTTCATAATATTTTTAAGCAACAAAAAACAATATAGTATTCTTAAGTTAACTAAAAGTTCTGTAGAAAATGTGATCTAACAATAATAGGATAGAGACTCAAGTTTTGCAGTTAGTGCAGGTCCAACTATGTTTACAATATGCTTTTAAATCTTGTCAAAAAATAAAATGACATCATAAGAAGAATCAGCTCAAATATGTTGATACAACACATGAGAAGTTTTTGTACTACATGCCATATATAATAAACATTTGATGCTTATCCATAGATGAGCATCAAATGTAGTTTATCATTTATCATTTATCTTTTTTCAATGTTTTTTAGATATAATATCTTCAACTTTAAATAGCTTAAAAAAATCCAAAAAAACAAAATATTGCAAAGATGATTCGAATACATGGGTTCCAAGTAGCTTAATGACATTTCTTTAATTTCAAATAATAGAGAATCCAAATATTAAAAGATGATCATCTTTCAAAATTCAGATTCTATATCACACCAGATGAAATCCTTCACTTCAAACAATCTGACATTATAGAAAATGACACTAATCTACAAGAAAGGCTGCCATCTGTTGTTAAATGGGTTGCTGTTAATGTAGACCACAATATTGCCACACATTATTCATTGAGTAAAAAATAATGCATAATAACACTGCTTTAAAAATTAATTTATTAGATTCAAGATCTAATGATTGAAACAGATTCTTTAGAGCAGAGATCTGCAAAATATGCTCTTCTTCTTTCGTGTCAATAAAAAGTACAAGGGTACATTATTTTGATTTTCAATTAAAATTTATCAGCTTTATATTTAGCTTTTTATTTAACAAATATCACATATTGACACCTATTTGTCTATACAAGCAAGCGACTACTGATAAACAAAATTTAATTTCAATTTCGATAAGCTGAAGACAGTTTAATCATGACTTAAGACATATTTGTCTATACAAGCAAACGACTACTGATAAACAAAATTTAATTTCAATTTCGATAAGCTGAAGACAGTTCATGACTTAAGACATATTTGTCTATACAAGCAAGCGACTACTGATAAACAAAATTTAATTTCAATTTCGATAAGCTGAAGACAGTTTAATCATGACTTAAGACATATTTGTCTATACAAGCTAGCGACTACTGATAAACAAAATTTAATTTCAATTTCGATAAGCTGAAGACAGTTTAATCATGACTTAAGACATATTTGTCTATACAAGCTAGTGAATACTGATAAATAAAATTTAATTTCAATTTTGATAAGCTGAAGACAGTTTAATCATGACTTAAGAGATATTTGTCTATACAAGCTAGCAAATACTGATAAATAAAATTTAATTTCAATTTCGATAAGCTGAAGACAGTTTAATCATGACTTAAGACATATTTGTCTATACAAGCAAGCGACTACTTATAAATAAAATTTAATTTCAATTTTGATAAGCTATAGACAGTTTAATCATGACTTAAGACATATTTGTCTATACAAGCAAGCGACTACTGATAAATAAAATTTAATTTCAATTTTGATAAGCTGAAGACAGTTCATGACTTAAGACATATTTGTCTATACAAGCAAGCGACTACTGATAAATAAAATTTAATTTCAATTTTGATAAGCTGAAGACAGTTCATGACTTAAGACATATTTGTCTATACAAGCAAGCGACTACTGATAAATAAAATTTAATTTCAATTTTGATAAGCTGAAGACAGTTCATGACTACAGGTTTGTTGTAAATGCTGTATAGGACTGAAAACTCTGAAAATTTAGTGATGAGATTTAATACTAGCTTGACATATACAAGATTATACAGAGAATCTGTTTGACTGACAGTTCACTAGCAGTTTGCGTAAACTGAATAGATAAATTTGTAGCCTAAATAGTATTCAATTCACAAATAACACAAAAATGTGAATTGTGAAACAATTTTCACTAAGTTTTTGCTTTAAAAACTTTAAAAATTTTTTCTGATATTAAAACAGATAAAGATTTATTTATGAAATTAGAAAAGAAACACTTTGTATTAAAACAATGTGACACTATTTTAGTTTCAATAAATATAAACAGTCAATAACAATGAAGTAAATCTATTTTATTAATTTATTTACTTTATTTTTTTTTTTTAATGATGCAAATTTATTATAGTTATTACCCAGTCGGGACACTAGTTTCACTTTCGGGCATAAAAACCTGTATAAAATCTGGAGATGCAACATGTATTGCAAATTATAGACTAATTTCAATACTACCTTGCTTTTCAAAAATATCAGAACATATATGTATAAAAGACTGTACTATTTCTTAGATAATAATAATTTTCTTTATAATAAACAATTTGGATTCAAAAAAGGTCACTCTACTGATCAGGCAATTGTTCATCTTGTACATGATATTCTTAAATCTTTTGATAAAAATAAATATACTTTAGGCGTATTTATTGATCTCAGCAAGGCTTTTGACACTGTAAATCATCATATTTTATTAACCAAATTAAAAAACTACGGTATTAAACACTCGAACCTTAAATGGTTTAAAAGCTATCTGTCAAATAGACAGCAATATATTTCTCATAATTACAGAAAAACTAACAACATAAATATATCTTGTGGAGTACAACAAGGATCTATACTAGGATCGCTCTTATTTCTAGTATATATCAATGATCTAAGCAAATCTTGTAATGTATTAGACACAATCTTATTTGCAGATGATACTAATCTATTTTATGCTCACAATTATATAAAAATCTTATTTAAAACTGTAAACACAGAACTACTATACCTTGCTGAATGGTTTAAAACAAACCAATTATCTCTAATTTAGACAAAATATACTTTTTTTTATCACTATTTTATAAAATTAATAAAAGTATTATTCCAAAAACTTTTGATCTCTTATTCAAAACTAATCAGAATAAATACTTAACTAGACATTCAAGTAACACCTACATACAACCCATAAGTTATTATACGGCAGCTGAGTTTTCAATTTCAATACACGGTTCTCTGATTTGAGTTTAAGCGCTGCGCACGCATGTTAAATGACATGCGCAAACCTAGCGGAGGTAAACAAACCAAAAAGAATAAATCTAAAGGTAGTTTGGTTGTAAATGTCTGAAATGGATAACGAAGATACAGTTTTATCAAATCAAATGACTTTACAGGATTTCAAAATAAAATCTGTATAGAATAATGCATAATAATAGTGTTATACTACACTATAATTATAGTGTATTATAATAGTATTATAATACACTAGTGTATTATAACACAATTAATATTCATTATACTATAAAAAACTATATAGTTTATTATAACACTATTAATACTAATAATTTACACAATATCCATATAATATGTATACAATACACTATAATTATAGTGTCATATAACACTATTATTATGAAAGAAGTAGTCTAGTTAATCTATACATAAAAGTTCTGTGCAATTACAGTTTTCTTCTTCTCTTCTTGTCCCGTGAACTTCGCAAATTTCCTGTCTCCATTTAATAAGTCTATATTGACCATTTTTACAAACTTTAACAGCACACTGAGTAGACATTCATATTTCTTTTATGACCTTCTCGCAGTAACTCAAGTCAAATTATAAAAATAAATGTTTGTTTACCTCCGCTAGGTTTGCGCATGTCATTTAACATGCGTGCGCAGCGCCTAAACTCAAATCAGAGAATCGTGTATTAGAGGACCAAAGGCATGGAATGAAATACAAACATCTGAACTTAAAACTCTTACATTGTTAAAAGAGTTTAAGGCTAAACTTAGACAGTTATTACTAAAAATGATTTACCACAAAACTATTTCTAAAAAGCAAAATATCCTTATGATTGATCTATCAATTAAATGAGGAGTATATTAATATTAGAAACTTTTGAGTTGAATCCACTTTTGA